TACGGATTTGAAAATGACAATGTTACCTTTAACGTCGAAACTTCAACCCCCTCTACTTTCTACAAATATTTTTTTAATGAGTTTATATTTTAGGAATTTATTACTATCATATAGGACAACAATTTACCAAAGTATGAAGCTAATCCCAGAACATTGACTTTTAGGGCTGGGGCGATTTAAAAAGAATCTCTCTGCTAGACATTCCATTATTCCAGGAAATGATACTCATTCTACCGCATTCTACTAGTTCCTTCAAAAGTTGGTGGTCTCTTACCATTAATTTCAATTTTTGCTGGACTCAGTGCTCTTGGAGCTCTTGCTGGTGGAACAGCATGTTTAGCGAAAGCATTAAACAATGCGAATGCAACAAAAGATCAGTTGAAAGAAGCTCATTGTCACAATGGAATAATGGAAGATGTTGCTTTAGGTAAAAATCTTTTCTTGAAACCCTATCGACAGGGATTAGGACATTATTTGAAACCTTATTTTAAAGGATTAGGTATGAAGCAAAAAAAAGTTCTCATAAAACTTTCTCAACGACTATAAACTAACTATGATTAGCTCAAATACGCTAAAGAGTTAAAAATTCTTTATTTTTGAGGAGCATTCATGCGAAATGAGTTGCCAATAGGAGGTCCTCGAAAAAATGAATCTGACATTATTGATCTTGATAATAAGGATGGTCCCGAAACACATTGGGTTGCTTATAAAAAGCTTCATGATAGAGCATTGTACTTTGACAGCTTTGGTAACCTTCAACCACCTTTTGAGCTTATTAGTTATTTAGGCTATAATACCTTGATACAATATAATCATGACAGTTGTCAAAATTATGATACTTTTCTTTGTGGACATTTATGTCTTAAATTTCTGAGCGATCAACTTAAATTTACTAACAAATATAACCTATATAAATACATGTAATCATACGTAAGCAATCAGTCTATAAAAAGTCATCATGATGAATAAAATATTTACTCTAACTATTTCGGGTAATTCATCTATACTTGAAGCAGAATATTTTCCACCAATAGAACTATTGCCAAATTAAAATTATTCTCTTGGTCTTGTTCAACTTCTAACTTTTAATTCAATTCCTAATGTTGATGAAGGAAAAAAATTGTATCTTGGTAATGATGTAATTACTATACCTACTGTCAGCTATGAAATTGAAGATATTGAAAAATATATTCAAAATTTCATTCAACAAGGATCGCAAATTATAAATATTAAACAAAATAATAATACTTTGCGCTGTGAAGTTATGACTAGACGTAAAATTGATTTTACACATAAAGATTCAATTGGTGAATTATAAGGATTCACTTAACGCATTCTTGAAGATAATGCAATACATACGTCTGATTTCACAGTTGCCACTCTCAATATAAATGCTGCTAGAATTGAATGTAGCATTACAACTGGTGCATATATTAACAATAAAAAGGTAAATACTATTCATGAATTTTTTTTCAATTGTTTCAGCTGGATATAAGATCCTGGAAGTACAATCTCAAGTCATTTATCTTCCAATCGCCGTGAAGACAATACCCTATCTATTCCCTGGAGACCGTCAAAAAAGTGAATTATTTTTATTTTAAATATCCTCTTATATCTATGAGTTTCAGATCGTGAGGTATGTATGAATTCCCACTGTTACCTATTACTCAAAAACATGTTTGGATTGTAACAACTTCAGCGCAGGTTGAGAAACATCGAACTGAATCCTTGGATTAAAAATAAATCGAAAAGATCATCCTGGAAGATATGCTGTAATGATGTAACCTTTGATAGCTGTAATTTCATAAATGTAAAACTTTTCTTACATTCACAATACTATCCTTATAGTAATTTAAATTTGAATTCTAATCAAAATTTTCAATCAACATACTATGGTAAACATCCTGAGCTTTCACTGTCCTGGAATGAATTTAAATATTATGCACCTTTAGCTGTCATAAATTGCTCCAAGCAAAAAGAATTTCTTAAACAAGCTTCTGTGGATGTGAAACTAGAATTTGAATCTAGTGAAAATTTCCCAGACAATACGGCAGCTTATTGTTTAATCATTTATGATCGAATTATTCAATACACACCCATCAGTAAAGTTGTGAAGAAAGTATCGTAAAGGGTGGGGGTAAAATAGAGTGGTGGGGGTAATGGTAAGAAAGTGGTGATAAGAATATAAATAGAGCAACTCTTGGTAGCTAGAGTCCTTCATTTGTTACAGATACCATGGCGTACGTCGTAGATTTTCAGTTCTTCAAAAGACCCTATAACGAGTTTATCATAAAAGAGCTAGCAATCATCCCACCTCAAGAAGATGCTCATCCATTGGTGTTTTTCTTCGAACCATCATATGCCTGGAGCCGCCTACCGAGAAGATACAACAGTCAAAATCGATGGACTGCATTTAATTATTATGGTATTGATTGGAATGCTGGTGACATATGGGCATATCTCTAGAACTTTTAAAATTAGAAAACTTAATTTTTTTCAGGGCACATTTGTGAAACAAATTTTATTGTCTTCAGTATTGATCAAATACTATAAAAAAATTTGCGTAACTCATTTTTACACATTGTTGCGCAGCACATTGGGCCTTATTGCAAAAAACCTGCCCAAAATCTCTAGATATGTTTAAAACTGACTGAAATTTGTTACTCGCGGATTTTTTGGTCGCTGATTACAATTCCGAAGTTAGTTTTTCGAAATTCAAAATGGCGGACGACTTTTAAAAAAATTGATCGAATTTGTCTGAAATTTGTTACTCAGGGGTTTTATAAAAATTTATGCCTAAGGTTTTCTCAGGTCACTGAATACGAAACTGAACTTATTTTAAAACCCAAATATATTATTATAATATAAACTAACACTACTTATTGTTACCTTTAAAATGTTTTAATGCTACAGTTTCGAAAATTTTATGTCCTATGGCTTATTAAGTCATAAGTAAATGTAGTTTATAACAATTTTTGAATTTTTTAAAATTTAATTTTTTAAAAAATTTTCTTTGCAATTTTGGATCCACCATTATGAATTTTGTAAAACGAAGTTCAGATTCGTAGTCAGCGACCCCATAAACCCCCGAGTAACAAATTTTAGGCCAATTGGATCAATTTTTTTAAAAGTCATCCGCCATATTGGATCCGCCATATTGGATCCGCCATTTTGAATTTTGCAAAACAAAGTTCAGATTCATAATCAGCGACCCCAAAAACCCCCGAGTAACAAATTTGAGGCCAATGGGATCACTTTTTTAAAAAGTCGTCCGCCATATTGGATTTGCCATTTTGAATTTTGGAAAATTTTAAATTCAGATTAGTAGTCGCAGCTACCCCAAAAACCTTCGAGTGAGAAATATCAGCCAAATTTAAACACATCTATTAGTTAATACTTACTTTTCTTCACAAACTATGCGTCGGATAGTTTAGGTTTTTATTCATTATTAATTATACAGTTTTAATGAAGTGTTCAAAGGTTAACGATTTTTCTGTATACTTTTATAATGCATGAGAAGAGGTTACAATGAGTTTGGAGCATTTAGAAGCAAAATTCAACATGTGCTTTTCAAATATGTGGTTTTTTTATATGAGTTACGTTTTAAAATTTAATGTTTGAAGTCATTGCATTCTTTGTGTAAAGGAGGAACACATTCCTGTATGGGTTCAAATTACTTCTTTTTAGGTAGATAATATAATCCCATTGTGCCGTTACTCAAAAATCTTCGTTAAAAAAGTTATATCAGTTTAACTGCTAACTTGTAGAAATTTTGAAAAAGTTGTCTCGCAAGTTTGAAGCTACATAGTTTTTATTCAATTTGAGGCACATCATTGATTCATGGATTTTTTAGTTCTTTACACTCCCACCTACTTCTATTGCAAGCCACAAGACACACAATGTTTCGTTAAAAAAGTTACAGTCTATAAACTAAAAAAACAGTCAATATCACACACTAGAAACTTTCGATTTCACCACTTTAACTTACGTTCGTCATTTCCTACATAATTAAAAAAATTATACAATAACGCATGATGCATTTAAAAAGCCCTATAATTGGTCAAATTATGGTATTGAAAAATTATTAAAAACATTCTTAAGGTATTATAATGAGCGATAACATAAAGTTTAAAAGTTCTAGAGATATGCCCATATCTTATAAAGATCTATAACCAATTCTAAAAGAAATGTTAATTGGTACAACTACAGTTTATGTAAAAGGTTTAGAGAAACAAAAATGTTTGGAAAGCTATTCACAAAATGTATTAAATTTAGATGATTTGAATTGTCCGCCGTTAAAAATAATGAGCCTTACATCAATATACTTAATGTACAAATCACACACACTATCATTTTCATTATTCTGTAAGAAATGTATATAAGTAATTCTCCTGAAAGTGACCTTTTGGTTAATTTTTAATTTTAGATGAATTTATAAAAATTTCTTCGATTTTAGATGTAGCTGATTTTCTTAGTGGTAGTTTATACTTTGTTGAGTAATGTAAAAGCAGGTTTCGACAAATATAGTCCTAAAAAGTTTTTACAGGAGCTATGATGTGTCAAAAGGCTTCGAAGATGAAATAGTTTTAGCTCCTACATAGATTCTACTTGATCAAACTGCTAAAGAATTTTTTATTGCAAAAGTATAAATGCAAAATTTTGACTGTATATATGTGTCAACAATTAATAGTGAGTTGATTTCGTAAAATTAATAAAAGAGAAAAAATAATTCAGGAATGTCACTTTCAGAAGAATAACCTATATAATATTCGTAAATGGTTACTACAACTGTTTGAGTAAAGCCTTAATGAGGGGATGGTTCTTTAAATTAAAATGAGAAATCGGGAATTAGTGAGATGAGAAAGGGTGCAGAGAATGTCAAGGTTTAACACAAAAATTTAACTGAATTTATTTTATAATCTATCTAAATTACACTGCTTTGTACAACGTGATTTGCGGCGTGGTGATTTACTTTGGGTTTGAGAGCGTCCGTTTAAAGTTTAATTAAAACAATTGACCGTCCTTCTGAGATGAAATTTTACTGACTTGACGGCAGCTTCCCATTTTCCTCCCATGTGTGGAGCAGAAGGGGGGTTGAAACTCCAGTTGGTGCCATCTTGAGACAATTGTTGAGCTAATTCCTTGAATTCTTGAGTTCCTTTTTTGAAAAGGTCTTGAAGAGCCTTGTTGGCACCTTGGAAGTTAGTTCCACAGTCGCTGAAGAGTGTTTGAGGAATTCCCCTTCTTGAGGTCAACCTTCTAAAAGCTGCGATGAATCCTTCTGTTGAATAATCAGTGACTGCTTCGATATGGAGAGCAGAAGTTGAGAAGCAGACAAATAGGCATAGCCAGCCCTTCATCGTTTTTGCTCCTCTTCCTTTCCAAGTTAAGAGAGTGATAGGTCCAGCATAATCTACTCCAGTTTCACAGAATGGCCTTGAAGGATTAACACGTTCCTTGGGCAGTTGACCCATCAACTGCTCAGCTCGAACTGCACGTTGACGAGCACATTTTACACAGCGTAGAATGTAAGATTTTACTAAACGCCTTCCGTCCAGGATCCAAAAATGTCTTCGAATGAAGGACAGGGTGAGTTGAGTTCCACCTTGGAGGAGTTTCCGATGAGCATTGTCAATGATTAATTGCGAAAAAGTACAATCCTTGGGGTGTATCGCTGGGTGTTTACTTTCGAATTCAAGATCCGAATAGTTGAGTCGACCTCCGACTCTGAGAACACCTTCTGCATCTATGAATGCAGTAAGTCTTGCGAAAGGATGAGATTTTCGAAACTTGACTCCCCGGGTGAGATCCTTCAGTTCAGCTGGGAAGTAGCTGGCCTGAGAAAACTTGATCCAATAAATCATAACTTCGTCCAAGTCTTTGGTGTTGATTGGATTCCTTAGTGTGGATTGAGGTGTACCTTTGAGAATAGCCAAAAATCGAAAGCACAGGGCAGTAATCCTTAGCAATCGATTGAGTGATGAATATCTTTGTATGAGATCCCAACCTTGGTGAGCCGTGGTGGTTGTAAACACCATTCTAGGTTTTTCTTCGACTAGAGATGATGAATCCGGACTTGATGGTGAGGTTGGCCAGAATTCCGACGAGTCCTTTAACCAGGGTGGTCTGTTCCACCACAGTGAGTGCGAAGCCAGATGTTGAACAGACAGGCCCCTTGATGCACGTCAGCAGGGTTTTCCTTTCCTTTGATGAACTTCCACCGACCTTGAGGGACGAGATCGTGGATGGAGGAAACCCTATTTCGTACATATTCCTTCCATCGTGAGGGATGACTGTTGATCCAGGTGAGTGCTACAGATGAGTCAGTCCAGAGAAAGGTTGGAACATCTGGTAACTCCATTGTTCTCTGAACATATTCCATTAGTCGTGCCAATAGGTGAGCCGCTGTGAGTTCCAACCTTGGTATTGTAAGTCGTTTGAGGAGCGCAACCTTGGTCTTAGCACAAACTAAAGTAACCTTAGTATCTTCGCCTTGCTCCGAGGTTTTGATGAGAACAACAGCCGCCATTGCAAGTTGAGAAGCGTCCGAAAATCCATGTAATTCAACTTGCTTGAGATTTGAGAGATTGAGCCATCGAGGAATTGAGAGTTGAGGAAGTTGAGCTAGCTCTTCCTTGAATTTGATCCACCTTGAGGAGATCGTCTCTGGAAGTGGGTCGTCCCAACCCAACTTGTGGAGCCAAAGTTCCTGCAGTAACATTTTGGCTCGGATGGTGACTGGAGAGAGGAATCCCAAAGGATCAAATGATTGAGATACCTCGGAAAGAATGGACCTTTTTGAGATGCCATGACCCGGTAGAGAAGTTGGCTCAAATAAAAACTTAAATTCGTCCGACCTTGGAAACCATGAGAGACCCAGAACCTTGGTTTGAGAGTGATCGATTAAGTGAGGATGGTTGGTGCTACCTTTGCCCTTTACAGCGTCGAAGAAGTCTGGATGATTGCTTTGCCATTTTGCAAGAGGAAATCCGCCGCAATTGAGAAGTCCCATTAGATCCATTGCGATGTCCTTAAGTTCAGATAAATTATCGGAACCACCGTAGATATCATCCATGTATCTGCCATTGAGAAGCGCCGGGACAGCCAAAGGGAATGCGTGGCCTTCATCCTTGATGAGTTGAAGAAGCACCCTTACGGCTAGGAATGGTGCAGACTTGGTTCCATATGTAACCGTGGTGAGTTGAAAAGGGGTTTCCTCTCCATCAGTGTCAATCCATAAGATCCTTTGCAAATTCCAGTCGTTTGGATGAACCTTGATTTGACGAAACATTTTCGTGATGTCACTAGAGAAGATGAATTGCAATTTTCTCACCCACAGCGGAATGTCTGAGATGTCCCTTTGTGATTTCGCTTCAGTATGAGAGATAGAGTTGAGCGAAGCGCCTGTTGTTGATGGACTTGATCCATTGAAGACAACCCTTAATTTTGTGGTAGTACTTTGCTCCCTTAGTATGCCATGATGAGGAAGATAGTAGGTTGTAAGGCTACTATCTCTTGGTGAAACCTTAACCATATAACCATCAGATTCATATTCCTTAAGAAATGAGAAGTAGCGTTCCTTGTAGTTTTGCTGTGTTGAAAACCGTTTGAGAAGTCGCTGTAGACACCGTTGAGCCTTGAAATAAGAGTCGCCAAGTTGATTCGGAGATGTTGAGATTGGGAGTCGAACAATGTATCGCCCCATTGAATCCCTTGAGTGAGTGACCTTGAAATGCTCCTCGCATTCCTGCTCTTGATTGGTCAGTAGAGTTGCTTCCGATTGAGGGACCTCTTCCTGAATCCAGAATTTTGTGAGAAGATTTTGCAGATGATCATTTTGTTGATCCACCACCAAATGATGGACACTGATTCCTTGTTGAAAATACAACTGGATAGGGCCTAAAATGACCCATCCAAAGATGGTGAGCTGTGCAATTGGAGCAAGAGAAGGACCTTTAATGATTTCAGTTTTGATTATTTGCCCATAATAATCAGCTCCGATAATGAGGTTGACCGAACTAGGGGTTGAGAATTCAGGATCAGCAAGCTGCAGATTTTGAAGGTGAGGCCAATTGGAAGAGGGAATATTGCTGGAAGGGAGAGTGGACGACAATTTTCGCAGGATGTGGGCTTTGATGAAAACTGAGTTTGAGGAAATTATTGATTTGAGGGTAAAGGATACTGAACCTCGAGTATATCCTGATTGAGTTGCTCCGATTCCGATGATTGAGATTGTTGATTTTTCCTTGGTTAAATTGAGAAGATGAACCGTAGATTCCGCAATGAATGAGAGCTCCGATCTCGTATCAATTAATATGCGTACCGGATGAGGAGTTGCTTGTGTAGAGAGGAGGAGTGCTCGAGCAGTGGCGAGGAGAACCACTGGTCTTGTTTGAAAACCCTTATCGTCCTGATGAGAAGGTTGAGTTTGTTATTGGTCCTTGGACTGTTGAGATGAGTTGCGAGATGATCCATGATGAGAAGTTCCTTGTTCTTGAGAAGTTGAGGTGTTGCCCTTGAGTTGAGGAGGATTAGCCTGGTGGATAATTGTATGATGCTTACCATCACACTCTCGACATCTCTTCGTTGTTTGGCAAGAATTGGCATTGTGCCTTCCGAGACAATGGAAGCAGAGACGCTGCTTGATGACGAAGTCCCTTCTTGCCTTGGTGCTCATATCTCGGAACTTTTCACAATGCACGATGTAATGCCCTTGTTCACAAGCAGAGCTGATATAATTGCCGGTTGAGTCTGATCCTTGAGTTGATGCGGTGAATGCCTTGTGAGGGGGCCCTTTTTGCGAAACCTTAGTGTTTGCCGATGAGGTGGTCTTTGTTGTTTGCGAATAGTTTGATATGCTCTCCAGAGCACGAGCCCTCCCAGTGAGAAACTCCTTAAGCTGCTTGTAGGTGGGAGGGTCTGTACTAGATCCTAATTTCACCTCCCACCCTTCTCTCGTGTCAGTGTCCAATCTCCTGGTGATATGATGGACGAAAATATGATCCCACTTAGTTACAGGAGCACGGAAAACTGAGAGAGCATCAAGTGCTTTCGTAGTAGAAGTGAGAAGAGCGTTGAGACTATCCGCCGACTTTGGAGTGATCACCGTGGTCGCCATCAAGCGATCGAGATGAGACGAGATGAGAAGTCTTTTGTTCTTGCACCTGGACACAAGAGTGTTCCAAGCAGAGGTAAATGAATCTCCTGAGACCGGGAGATTTAAGATAATCCTTGCAGCCTTTCCTGTGAGACTGGTTTTGAGATAATGCATCTTCTCAACGTTGGTGATTTTCTCGTTGCTTATCACCATTGATGAGAAGAGATCCTTGAATGAGGCCCAGCTAGAGTAATCTCCAGAGAAGGTTGGCAATGTGATTTCCGGTAGTCGTTGACGAGATTGAGTAACTATCGGTGGACCAGGATTGGCGAGACGAGACCTTTCGAGTTGCTTTTGCTGCACAAGCAATGATTCCTTGGCCTTGATATAACAGCGAAAACATTGGTCAAACAAGTCCTCTTGAAAGTATGCATGACGGAGGAGTTTTGTCGAGCCTTGAGAGATGAGAAAATCTTGCGTCTGGATGAACTGGTCCTATACCTCCGATAAAGTGTCGAGTTTCAATTCGAGGTAGTCCATTGCGTCGCAGTAGTGTCTACTTTCTGCCACAGTACAGATTTCTTCGATTTGCCTGAATCGAGTTCTTTGAGACAGCACCTTGAGATCAAGTTGAGCACTGGTCATTTTGGTTGAGGTAGATTCCTTGCCTATTCCTTGATCAGAGAGATTTGAGAGTGAGCCTTGCCTTGATGGGACTGGAACAATCAGTTCTTGCTGTTGAGTGTGATGTGAGATGGAAGCTTGAGTCAATTGATTGATGTCAATAGCCAGTTGCTTGATGGGGTTGGTAATCAATTTGATTTCTTGCTCTTTGTGAGTTTCCTTTGTGTCGATGAATTCCTCCTTTTCATCACTCGAATTGTTGGCTAAGTGAGAATGGCTATCATCCCCGTAAGTCGACATGATGAGAGAGTACCGTTAGAATTAATTATTTGTAAGTCTGATGAGAAGAAACCGAATTGAACACTGTATTGCTCTGAGAAACTCAGCTGTCACTTTTCACGTGAGAGAGAGTATTTGAGACGTCCGATCACACGCGCCAGAGAGAGAAGCGCAATGTTCGTGAGAAGGGACACTAGAGATCTGAGAGAGTCTTACTGCTGAGCGCGCACTTAACTTGTACAGGCGGCACCACGAGAGTAGGGAGAGAGAGTCCAAGATGGCGAGAACTGCTGCCTGAGAAGCGGATCACTGTACGTGATGGTACGCACGGCGTTCGCGCAGAGAGTCAAGGGGAAGCGTCTGAGAGACTGTGCCGTGGGGGAGCGAGAAAGCCAATATGGCGAGCACTGAGAGAAATGCCAAGGCGTGCACGCCGGTTACCACGTGACGCGAACCTGTTGCACTAAAATGAGCACCACAATGTTTTGCAGTAAAACTCTCACTCACTTTTAACCGATTATCCGGCTCGAAGGACCATAATGTTTGAGAAAAGCCTTAATGAGGGGATGGTTCTTTAAATTAAAATGAGAAATCGGGAATTAGTGAGATGAGAAAGGGTGCAGAGAATGTCAAGGTTTAACACAAAAATTTAACTGAATTTATTTTATAATCTATTTAAATTACACTGCTTTGTACAACGTGATTTGCGGCGTGGTGATTTACTTTGGGTGTGAGAGCGTCCTTTTAAAGTTTAATTAAAACAATTGAAAACACTTTGATTTGTGAACGATTATTATTATTTAGAGAATATCCGCGTCTTATTGCCTGTGAAAGGTACCGACAAACTTAGATTGTAATCTCGAGAATTTAATTATATCTACTTCGAACGTTGAATTAGTGAGGCGTCCGTAAGAGTACTCAGCTTGGTTGGCTTGATGAAAGCACGAGGCAGGCCGACACCGTTACATGGCCGCGAACTGCTGCCACCATGCGGTGAACGCAATTTAAAAAACCCATTACGCGATTTAACACAACACTGAACAACAACCATCCAATGTACCGACAAATATTCCTTTAGGTCAAGATGAAGTTGATAATAATTCTTTATATTTATATATTTATTAATAATAAAAACTTAAAAAATTAAACAAAATTTTTCGTTTACACACGTCTAGACATGTATTTGTGACGTTATACAACTAAAATTTACTGCGCATGCGTACTGTGAAAGTGGGTGTGGATATTTAAATGCTCATAAGCAATTGCGCATGCGCGATTAAAATTTTAGGTATAAATTTAGCATGCATGGGCAGTTTTGCTCATTCTGTTTTCTCAGATATCGTCTAGTCTCCAAAGATGCATCTAAGTAAAATAATTGCTGTTGGTCGTATGGAGGGTTTCATGCCTACGAAGCCGCTTTCAGAGTTGACTCCTGGACAAAAAGTATCCTGTTACAAAAATCCAGTTTGTGAATTCTAAATATGGAGAAAAGGTAGTCGTTGAAGTGGATGGAAAATTTAATACTTTCTTACCTTCACGATTTGTACTTATGTTCGCTGATGATTCCATATGCTTCAATCAAATGCAAAAAGCTATTGATGCTGGACAATTACGCCTAAAGTATATTGGTGGTCCATATAACACAGGCCGACAAGATTTACTTTCCAGGAATCAGACAATACTTTTCCGAAAGCTTTGGACGAGCTGATTTCAAATCCGGCCTCAGAATTAACCCTGCACGTCAGGTTTTCGAGATATTCTAACCTTAATGTGCAAAAAACTAGTTTTTAAACTGCATTCGAGGTCATGCAACATCAAGAGATAATTTTTTTGCAAAAGATCCATATGGCTCTAAGTAATGGTTCATTTAATTTTCTGAGTACGGCGAATTCTTCGATATTCCAAAACTGAACAGAAAAAGATAAAACTTCGATAATACAGAAGAATATAACTGCAAACATCTAAATTTCAAATAGTTCTGTAGAATTTTGATATAACTGATCACGAAGTCGATGTCAGAATTTCAAAATTCAAAATGGCGGATCCAATATGATGATTTTTTGAAAATCGATTGTATTTGCTTGTAATTTGTAACTGGAGAGTTTTTGGGGTCGCTGAAAACGAATTCGATGACAGATTTTTAAAATTTATAATGCATTCAATATAACAAACGATTTCTTTAAATATCGAAGAATTCGCCATACTCAGAAAATTGAATAAACGATTACTTAGAGACAAATGAAGATTTTTTAAATTTGCAAAATGGGTTTTAAAGGGGAAGAATATCACTTTCAGAGGCAATAAAAACCTGATGTGCATTATCAATTTTGATGCCAGATTCGGATTCAACACGTCAAAAACCCGCGTAAAAGTGTTGTGTTGTCTAATTCATGGAAAGTTAATTGAATCAAATTTTGTTGGCCTGTGTAATCATATGTAATTTAAAATAAAAGAAATTTAATATTGTATATATTGTTTGAAATGTTATAATAAATTCTTTATTTCAATATCTCTATGTTATTATTTTAAGTTACATTTAGTTTTAAGATTATATTAAGTTTAGATTTAAGATTAAAATTAAGATTAAGTTAGGTAAAAAAATTGCAACTACAATTTTAAGTAAATATTAATATATTTAAAGCAAAAAAATATTTTACATATGTACAAAATAAAAATGAATTTTTTACAAAAAAAATATTGAAAAAAACACTTTATATGTATGTATAATTTAAATAATTAAAATTATTTAATATATTAAAAAAAGGACTACATAATTATTTTTTTAGAAACAAATTTTTAAAAACCACAATACATTTATTATTTTTTAAAAAATGTCGTCGTGACAATCGTTGTGGTAGTCACAGTCATGTTGTGGCCGTCACGCCCTCTATGAGTGTGATGATGATAGTGGTAGTTATAAAGTAGTTATAAAATTAACTGCTTGAGAACCAATTATTAAAACTAAATATACCCGTTTAAAACAATTTTAAATAATTATTTATTTACGGGTGGTAAAAACATTGGCTTCTCATGGTTATCATCCTCAGGCAGCTCTATCTCTTGAGGACTAGGCTCTTCCTGAGGAGCAGGCTCTTTCTGAGGAATAGGCTCTTCCTGTGGAGCAGGTTCTTCCTGAGGGGCAATCTCTACCTGAGGAGCTGGCTCTTGAAGGGGTATAGGCTTATCAAACTCCTGTTGAGGCTCTGGTTCAGGGGATGACGGAGGTGTATTAGGATAGCTCCAAACACCCTAAAATTTAAAAAAATTTATTTAAAAACTATTTATCTATTGTTAGTTACTTATTTTTTAAAGCTAATAATAAATAAATATTACCCTGGTGGAAAAGTCCCCGGTAGTGACTACCGGTAGTCACGACCGGTAATTTTTCCTAGACTACCGGTAATTCTTCCGGTACTACCAGTAATTTTTCCGGCACTACCAGTAATTTCTCCGGTACTACCAGTAGTCACTACCGGTAATTTTTTCGTTAGTACCGGTAGTCTAGGAAAAATTACCAGTAGTGACTACCGGTAGTGAATATTCCGGTAGCGGGAGCGATAATGACTACCGGTAGTGACTACCGGGAACTTTTCCACCTGGGTAGTAATAACTAAATATTAACAAACGCATTCACACCCCCACGCACCCTGCCTCGCGGAGAAGTTCATTGTGGGTTTTATATATAATTATATACACATACATATAAAAAAAATACTTATCACCATCCAGTTTAGCCTCCACAAAAACAATAATAACATGTACAGTTTTCCATGGTTGTTTTAATGATGATATATGGGAGAAGTATAAAATATATAAATAGACGTAATTAAAGTTTAAAAACGCAAAGTTATAAAAAAAATTGTTTTAGAAACATTTTTAATTATGAATCAGAAAATATAGAAAAAAGAATATTAATAATAATTTATTTGAAGTTAGTAACCGTTAAGTATATTTTGGTGATTTAAAAGGCTTTTCGGTCATGTTAAGTATTAAATTTTTATTATTTTCAAAATTATAAAAATTATAAAAATGTCGACGTTTCGGGTCGGCACCGACTCTTTTTCAAGACTAAAAACAAAGGAAAAAACAATTTTAATTTTAAAATTTAGAAAAAGAAAAAGAAAGGGTTTATAGATATAAATTAAAATTGTTTTTTCCTTTGTTTTTAGTCTTGAAAATGGGTCGGTGCCGACCCGAAACGTCGACATTTTTATAATTTTGAAAATAATAAAAATTTAATACTTAACATGACCGAAAAGCCTTTTAAATCAACAAAATATTAATAATAATTTATAAAAAAATTTGAGTAAAAAAAATAAGAAAAAACTTATTTTCACTTCTTTCGGCTTTACCATTGCACATACGCAGTTTGCCCTAATTTCGTCATTAAGATATTTAAATTATATGACGTCACAAGAACAAGTCTCCACAAGTTTAGTTAGGTCGCAACATGTTTTTTCAAAATTTAAGATTTAAGTCGTAAATTCTTTACGTATGCGCAGTTACCAATAGATGACTCTTCCTGTGTATGCGCGAAGTGCCGAGTCAAAAATTTTTTTTTTATTTTTTGCATTTTATATAATACTAATTGTATTATGGAGGGCCTATTTATGGCTCCCCATCCCCCCATGCAATGTCAACTACTGCACCATTCTATACTTGGATCGCTTTAAAGGCACATGTAGAACAAATTATGTGGATCCACGAGAGCAGTCTGACTCTTAAAGGTAATACCCCACAGCAGGCATGGAGCTGCGCGCGCCGTCGCCGAGTGAGAATACTACTTAGGCGGTTCCACTAGCGCGGCACAGCACATAACTCACTCGCAGTGATGGGTACGTATAATACATGACGTATAATACGTGGTTTACTACGTATATTACGTGCCAAGTTTTCTACTCGATGTATATTACATTTGATCACGTAATTTAAGAGCGGCAATTTTAAATTCTTCATTAAAATACATCATTCATTACTTTACACTATTGAAAGAGAAAGTTGTTAATATAAACAAAATTTAG